GGGGGGGGGGGGGGGGGGGGGGGGGGGGGGGGGGGGGGGGGGTGCAGACACAGTCCCCAAACATGGGACCAACTACAGATTGGAAAGAGGGACAGGTTCTGGCAGATTTCAGCAGAGGCTGGATCAGGAGCCAAAGACCAAGGAAGCTGTGGCCACAGAGCTAAAGATGTCCCTGGGCCGGGATGTGTCCCATGTGTCAGCTCAGAGCCCCACAGGAATGGAGCACGTCTAAAGAGTGGGCTTTCTCCGGAATACGTTAGGCTGGACGCAGCTGCTGTGATAACCCAGCCGGGGCCTGATAAGAGCCGCAGATGCCTGCCTCGTTGGCTCCTTCCTTATATAGCAGTCACAGAGACCGCCCCTCCTCAACCTTCCGAAGGACGTAGCCTCGTGTTTGAACGGGGATTTATCTTTCATAAAAAATGTGGGAGAAGCCCAGGACTGGGACAGGCTGGGACCCGCCCACCATGACTCGGCAGTGTTTTGGGGTTTGGGCCAAGTAACTGTTAGAAAACCTCTCAACATGTGACCATGTTTACAGTCGCCAGCGAGCTCAGCCTAAACACCATGTGACCCACAGTGCACAACCTAGGTGCAAGCCCAAGGGAACCTGTCACTGGTGACAAAGAGTGAGTCAGGAAGCCCCGTGTGGCTCAGCATGGGATGTCTCACCGGCTTCTGCCTCCCGCCTGTCCCTGGATGCCTTAGGGAGAGAAAGAAGGCACCCATTGTGCGGGTCAATGCCCCAGTATCTTCCAACCAAACGGGGCGGGGAACGGAGGCACCTCGGGGCAACGAGTTGGCTCAGCCAGGCGGGCCCGCCCCCGGGAGACCACAGCAGCTACGTGTCCCCGCTCACACAAGGGGCCCTTCTTCCAGGTTGAAAGCATCAACCCAAGAAACGTAGTTACCCATTCCCCCGCGTAGACTCAGGTGCGGCCCTCGGATTCCAGGTTGTGTAGGTTTCTCCTGCACGTAGGCGGGCTCCTCCAGGGGCGAAGTGGCGACAGGCCCAGGGCCCCCTGACCATCCCCCGGCCCACTCACCCGTCACGTAGATGTCGTTGCCCAGCGCCACGATGCTGTAGCCCCCGCCCAGGTGGTCGGGGAACTCGGCCAGGTAGCGCCACTGGCCCGTCTGCGGGTTGTAGCAGTCGACGGTGACCAGCTCGTCGCAGTCCTGGTCGCAGCCGCCCACGAGCACGAGAATCTCGGCCAGGCCGGTGGACGGGCGCGGGCGCATGCGGGGGCAGGGCCCGCGGTCGTGGCGGTCGTAGCGCGCCGCCTGGAAGTCGCGCGCCTCGCGCAGCAGGCGCAGGCAGGGCGGGCAG